ATATATATATATATATATATATATATATATATAATATATATTATATTATATATATATATATATATATATATATATATATATATAATATATAATATATATATATATATATATATATATATATATATTATATAATATATTATATATATATATATATATTTATATTATATATATATATATATATATATATATATTATATTATATATATATATATATATATATATATATATATATATATATATATATATATATATATATTATATTATATTTATATATATATATATATATATATATATATTATATTATAGGTAGTAGGTTGGTAGACAGCAACCACCCAGGGAAGTACTACCGTCCTGCCAATGACTGTGAAACAAAAACCTGTAACTGTTTTGCATGATGGTAGGATTGCTGGTTTCTTTTCTGTCTCATAAACACGCTAAGATAACGGGGATATCTTGCTACTCCTACTTACACTTTGGTCACACTTCACAGACACCACATGCATATATATATATACATACATCTAGGTTTTTCTCCTTTTTCTAAATAGCTCTTGTTCTTTTTTATTTCTTCTATTGTCCATGGGGAAGTGGGAAAAAAATCTTTCCTCCGTAAGCCATGCGTGTCGTATGAGGCGACTAAAATGCCGGGGGCAATGGGCTAGTAACCCCTTCTCCTGTATACAATTACTAAAAAAGAGAAGAAGAAAAACTTTATAAAACTGGGTTGCTTAAATGTGCGTGGATGTAGTGCGGATGACAAGAAACAGATGATTGCGATGTTATGAATGAAAAGAAGTTGGATGTCCGGGCCCCTAAGCGAAACAAAGCAAAGGGGGTAGGAGATTTCAGTGGGGGGAAATAAATGGGATTAAATCTGGAGTACCCTGAGAGAGTTAGAGCAAAGGAAGGGGGTAGCAGTAATGTTAAATGATCATTATGGAAGGAAAAAGAGAATATGAATGTGTAAATTCAAGAATTATGTGGATTAAAGTAAAGGTTGGATGCGAGAAGTTGGGTCATAATAAGCGTGTATGCACCTGAGAAGAGAGGAATGCAGGGGAGAGAGAGAGATTTTGGGAGATGTTAAGTGAATGTATAGGACCCTTTAAAACCAAGTGAGAGAGTAATTGTGGTAGGGGACTTGAATGCTAAAGTAGGAGAAATTTTTAAAGAGGGTGTGGTAGGTAAGTTTGGGGTGCCAGGTGTAAATGATATGGGACCCCTTTTGATTGAACTTTGTATAAAAAAGGGGTTTAGTTATAGGTAATACATATTTTAAGAAAAAGAGGATAAATAAGTATACACCGATATAAATGTGGGGCCCAAAAATGACAGTAGTTTGTTTGGATTATGTATTGGTAGATAAAAGACTGTTTAGTAGACTTCAGATTACATGTTTATAGAGGGGGCCACAGATATACGATCACTTTCCAGTTGTAGCTACACTGAGAGTAAAAGGTAATGGGATACAAGGAGAATAGAAGCATCAGGGAAAAGAGGTAGAAGGGTTTATTTAAAATAAAGAGGAGGCAGTTAGGGTAAGATAAAAACAGCTATTGAGGATAGATGGGGTAATGAGAGCATAGGGAATGGGGTCGAAGAGGGATGGGGTAGGTTAAAAATGTAGTGTTAGAGTGTTCAGCAGAAGTTTGTGGTTACAAAGGGAAAATGGTTTCAGGAGGGGAAAAGGACGATTGGTGGAATGAATGAGTAAAGAGTAGTTAAGGGAGAAAAAGTTAGCATATGAGAAGTTTTTACAAAGTAAAAAGTGATGCAAGGAGGGGAAAGTATATGGAGAAAAAGAGAGAAGTTAAGAGAGTGGTGAAGCAATGTAAAAAGAGAGCAAATGAGAGAGTGGGTGAGATGTTTATCAACAAATTTTGTTGAAAATAAGAAAAAGTTTTGGAGTGAGATTAACAAGTTAAAAAGCCTAGAGAACAAATGGATTTGTCAGTTAAAAATAGGAGAGGAGAGTTATTAAATGGAGAGGTAGAGGTATTGAAGATGGAAGGAAAAATTTGAGGAATTGTTAAATGTTGATGAAGATAGGGAACTGTGATTTCGTGTATAGGGCAAGGAGGAATAACATCTTGTAGGAGTGAGAAGAGCCAGTTGTGAGTGTGGGGGAAGTTCGTAGGGCAGTAGGTAAAATGAAAGGGGTAAGGCACCCGGGGATTGATGGATAAAGATAGAAATGTTAAAAGCAGGTGGGGATATAGTTTTGGAGTGGTTGGTGCAATTATTTAATAAATGTATGGAAGAGGGTAAGGTACCTAGGGATTGGCAAGAGCATGCATAGTTCCTTTGTATAAAGGCAAAGGGATAAAAGAGAGTGCAAAAATTATGGGGGGAATAAGTCTTTTGAGTGTACCTGGTAAATTTGTATGGAAGTTATAATTGAAAGAATTAAGAGTAAGACGGAGAATAGGATAGCAGATGAACAAGGAGGCTTTAGGAAAGGTAGGGGGTGTGGGGGACCAGGTTTACATTTGAAACATATAAGTGAACAGTATTTAGATAAGGCTAAAGAGGTCTTTGTGGCAAATTTTTGGATTTTGGAAAAGGCGTATGACAGGGTGGATAGGGGGGAATGTGGGGAGATGTTGCAAGTGTATGTGTAGAGGTAGGTTACTGAAAGCAGTGAAGAGTTTTTACGAGGATAGTGAGGGTCAAGTTAGAGTATGTAGGAAAGAGGGAAATTTTTTCCCAGTAAAAGTAGGCCTTAGGGCAAGGATGTGTTGAAAGTCAACCCGTGGTTGTTTAATATATTTATAGATGGGGTTGTAAGAGAAGTAAATGCGAGGGTCTTGGCAAAAAGGCGTGGATTAAAAGATAAAGAATCACACACAAAGGGGGAAAATGTCACAGCTGCTCTTGCCGATGACACTGTGCTCTTGGGAGATTCTGAAGAAATTTGCGAGATTGGTGGATGAATTTGGTAGGGTGTGCAAAAGAAAAAAATTAAAGGTAAATACGGGAAAAAGGGAAAGGGTTATGGGGATAACAAAAAGATTAGGTGAAAAGATTGAATATCAGATTGGGGGGAGAGAGTATGGAGGAGGAACGTATTCAGATTTTTTGGGAGGGGACGTGCCCAGCGGATGGGTCTATGAAAGATGAGGTGAATCATAGAATTGATGAGGGAAAAAGAGTGAGTGGTGCACTTGGGAGTCTGGAGAAAAGAACTTTGTCCTTTGGGAGGCAAAGGGGGGAATGTATGAGAGTATAGTTTTACCAACGCTCTTAAATGGGTGTGAAGCGTGGGTGATGAATGTTTGCAGCGAGGAGAAGGCTGGAGGCAGGGGAGATGTCATGTCTGAGGGAAATTTGGGGGTGGTGTGAATATAATGCAGGAATTCGTAGTTTGGAAGTTGGGAGGAGGTGCGGGATTACCAAAACTGTTGTCCAGAGGGCTGAGGAAGGGTTGTTGAGGGGGTTCGGACATGTGAGAGAATGGAGCGAAACAGAAAGACTTCAAGAGTGTATCAGTCTGTAGTGGAAGGAAGGCGGGTAGGGGTCGGCCTAGGAAGGGTTGGAGGGAGGGGGTAAAGGAGGTTTTGTGTGCGAGGGGCTTGGACTTCCAGCAGGCATCGTGAGCGTGTTTTATAGGAGTGAATGGAGACAAATGGTTTTAATACTTGACGTGCTGTTGGAGTGTGAGCAAAGTAACATTTATGAAGGGATTCAGGGAAACCGGCAGGCCGGACTTGAAATCCTGGAGATGGGAAGTACAGTGCCTCAAATCTGAAGGAGGGGTTTTTAATGTTGCAGTTTAAAAACGTAGTGTAAAGCACCCTTCTGGCAAGACAGTGATGGAGTGAATGATGGTGAAAAGTTTTTCTTTTTCGGGCCACCCTGCCTTGGTGGGAATCGGCCGGTGTGATAATAAAAAAATAAAAAAAAAAAATATATATATAAAAATATAAATATATATATATAATATAATATATAAATAAATAATAATATAATATATATATATATATATATATATATAATTGCAGCAACAATCTAACTCCTCGACCACTTTGGTCTCGTCACCTGAGTCTCATTTATTAATCTGATAATAGTTGACGTGTTGATGAGTAAACGCTTGCAGCTCTTGTGATGATTCATGTGCCAGGCACAGGTCGAGTCCAACATCTTTTATCTCTCTCTCTCTCTCTCTCTGTTCCTCCTCCTTTTTTCTTATTCTTTAACACACACACTTTATATATCAGACGAAGTTGGGATATCTTATTCTATTTGTTTTGGTAAAGTTGACACTAAACGCGAACACCACGAGCATATATTTGCTCCTCTGACTACAAACACTGAAGCCGAAACATCACAAGCACATTTCTGTGTAGCTTAATTTAACGTTGACTTTTTTTTTTGTATTATATGAAGCGAGAATCTCTGTAATCGCTACTGCAACTCAGCTGAAAATGCTCCTTTCATGAGAGCATATTAATATCATAATTCCAATATGACTGAGCATTCAGAAAATATAATAGTTCGCTGCTTCGTCTAATATCGCTGTCAGTTACTATTACCACTGTGAAATTTCACACAGACCGTCTTGCTGGGTATTCAGCAATATATAAAATAACCCTACCATGAATCTCAGCCTTGGCTTTGTGTCTATTGATGCTTGCCTTTCCTAATATTGTCAAATGCCGTAATATTTACGCTATGCCTGACTACGTTTATGCAGTGACATTTAGAGTTGTAATTAAAAGGATTGTTTGAATCCTTATTTAATGCTTTAGACATTTCAAAACATTCGCACAATTGAGAAAGGAAACTTGACGTTACGAACAGTTTTAAAACAAGTCCAGGATGGACAGCAACGTCGTACAATTTCCACATCCAATTTTTGGGATAGTTCTTAATTGTTCTAGTTACTGTATTCAAACTTCCATTGTTGTTTTAACTTGTCAGATTTTCAAAACCTGCTTCCGGTAAAATGATTACACGTTTATTTTCAATGTATTAATAATAACTTTGTTTTTGCTGTTGCAGGGATCAGCCTGGTCGTGGTAACTCATATGCAGATGACGTAGCCAGCGAGAGTGGATGGCTGTGTTGATCGGTATGAGATGCTGCGACTAGGGTGTAACGGAGGACCAACCCCCCCCCTGTCACTCACTGACCGAATTTGGACTACGAGACAAGGATTATCTTTTCAAACACCAGACGACTTGAGGTGAAACTACAGGCTAATGTTTGAAACCCTTCCCAAGGAGTATCCACGAAGAGAGAGTTAAAAAGACGGTTATGGAAAGATATTGCGAAAGAAAATTATTTTCCAGCTTCAATCGCTAGAAGATATGAGGTTAAAATACGTTTTGGTGTCAAAGAAGTGTGAGCAAGAAAAAGCAAAGACTACCAAGGATTAGATATTAGATAATTCAAGTGGAAAGGAGGATTCTTGCTAATAACGACCATTACGATGAGTGATGCGTATGGATTGTTGTGGTTAGTCTTGGCATTGCTACGAGAGGAAACAACAGCAAGTTAAGAAAAACACCTAACATGAAGATCAAGTAACCCTTGCTGTGTTGAGTAGTGTTTGGAGCAGCGAGTAACAAGCTGGAAAGTAAAGACTTGTGGTGAAAATAATACCATATGATTGATGTAAGTTGCGCTGTGGAGGACATGGACCTTAGATCTGTCATAATGTTTTGTTATGGTGAGTAATAATAAGGGAAAAATCGAACTTCATTCGCTGTGTTTAGCATATCTTTGCAATGAACTTTTTTTTTCAGGTGTAATGGAAATCAGTGGTATAGTTGTGAACAGTGGGAAGAAATATGCCTGTTTTACAAGCCCATGATTTTTCTTGGCGACACGCTAAGTAAGCCAGTGTGTGTTCAACGGCAAGATGTGTTCAACAGCAGGATGTGTTCAATAGCAGGATGTGTTCATACGCAAGGTTATCTGTAGAACAGAATAACAATATGGTAATAGGTGGTGGAAGTTACCTTGGGAAGTGGACCGTAATGCATGTAAGCGAACAACATGGCCTCGTCTTGGGTAACCAGTTTTCCCGAAAATCACCTCAAGGCTTCTTTCTCCGATAGTCTTTATAATTATAGCTCTTTGGTTGAAATAAACGATAAAAAAAATAACCTTACTCTCACAATATAAATTTTGTTATTTTTTTAACAAACTCGGGATGGAATAGTTGTTTTCTTTATACAATCAGATTGTGTAAATAAAATAAAAATATACTTGTGTAGGATATAATGTGGATCAGAGTTGCAGTCACCATTAAGATCGAGTTATATAGTCAGGAGATGGTGCGTTTAAACACTTTGCCAAAGCTCAGTGCGGTCCCCTCATTAGTTGTTATGCTTTGTAAGTTAGGGTTTTCAGTTCTCTGTTTATTGTTAAGATTAAAAGGCTATATTTGTTTTTCTTTTTATACCAAAATGATGGATTTCCCGGTAAATTGTTATTTAAAATGTAGAGGAAAGCAAGTTGATCTTGTATGCTGTTGGTTCACGGCATACGATTATATTTTCAGTAGGTCTCTCTTGGGACATCAATTGTATGTGATGCTAAAGTGTGTACGGGCAGTGTCTGCACCTTGTAATATGTATCATTAATATCTCCTCAAAGGTGAACAAAACTTCATTGTTAATAATATAGGTTGATTTGTCCTCATTATTGAAATGCAACATTTTCTCTTGAAGGCAAACAGAGGATAATATTTTAGAGTTCACAATAGACATGTTATATTTGGTTATACCTGTTAATGATGCTGGAGAAAATTGCTCCCACAACCGGGTCCCAGACCAGATGTATCTTAACACTGAAACAGATTACAATCAAATATTCCAAGAATGTAACGAATGTAGACACGTCACACACACTATACACACAATCAAACTCGCGATTTGCTTAAAAAGTACAAGATTAGAAGCAGTATAAACACAAGATTCTCTTCAAGAGCATTCTAAATACACACTATTTGTTTTACACATAATTAAAAAAAACTGTTCAAATCAACATGAAATTTTGTTTTCGTTTATTATCGTCTAACGAAGAAATTATAAAATCTTTATCCTTCAACGATGGATTCTAAATGAAGAAAAAACACTTTGTATCAAACCTTGTATTGGTTGCATCCAGATGCATTTCTCTGCGTTGCTTAATTACCTGGAGTTGCAACAAACAGCTACTGACTCCTGTCACACAGAGAGTTGCCTCTTTTACACGGCGGCGCATGTTTGAGCTGCTTGGCCAGGGTGAATGATGCGGATATAATTGAGCCCCGTTCGTGCAATGCTGTCCATATGGCTTTATTAAATGGTGTAAAAAGTTATAGCAATGATACTGTAATAATCATGGCGGTAGATTTGTTGCATAGCAGTAAGAAAATCTTCCCCATCCCTCTGCCTCCATTACACTTCCCTTCCATCCCATTTGACCATACTCTTTCCATTTCTCTATCCCAGATCATAACGCAATATTTTTTTCCTCTGTCAACCCGCGAAGCCACATTCATTACATTCAGTCTCCCATCCGTCTCTTTCCTCATACTCTCTCGCTGTCCTTCGTCCCTTCCATCTCCAATAACTCTACCCTCTTTTCCCTTCCTTAAAATACCCTATTCCAGAATTTTTGCGAGTTTCCAGCCTGCTGCCTCACGTACGGCTGGTGTCTTTCTGAAGCAATTCATAGAAAATGCGAGATTTTTACAACATAGGAAGTGACTCTTTTATTCCTGCTATAATTTCAAAACTGGTTCTATATGCGTGTCAGTACCGGAGATCATCAGATTATGAATCACACACAAGACCATTCATGCTCTAGGCAAGTATTGTAGTCGTATGAGGGATTTATATTCTGGAGCTCCTATACTATTACCCCTCGGAATTCCTTTTGTTTTCGTATTTTATCATTTAAAATTTTAGGTCACGCTTGCACATTATATATTATATATGTTTATATATGTGTATTATGTGTGTATATATTATATGTGTATTTTCATTTATTTTTATTTTATTTATTCTATATTTATATTTTTTTAATTTTTTATAGATATTCAGATTTATACTTTATATTTATCAAAACTTTATTTATATATATATATATATATATATTATTTTATTTATTAATTTTATATATTATATTTCTAATATTATTATATATTTTATATTTAATTTACTCACGAAGAAAACAATCACTAATAAATATAATGTTCCTTGATAATGTAGAAATTCACAAAAGCGATTGGAAGTCACTTTATCATCAGTGGTTGTTCTCGCGTGTATCTACTGCTTAACTCTGATCTTATTGCAAATTATATATATATATATACCTTTTATAGATAGATTGATTTATTTCTTTTTATATTTATTATTTTTATTTATTTATATTGTTATATTTAATTTTATATTGTAGATCCAGAAGTTATTGCTCTCATTTCAATTTTTTTTTTTATTTTAACTATTTTAAGTTTATTTTTTGTTATTATCTTATAATTCTCTGACCTATTATGCCGAGGTTTTAGTATTTGCCCGCAAATGTTTTTTTTTTGTAATACACCATATTGGGTTTGCGTTTTTGATTTGGTTTTGTTGTTTTGTAGTACAGGCCCCCCTTTTTTTTAGTATATCGATTTGTTGTTAGAGTTAAGCAATTATCCTGTGAAAGTTGTCATAATGGTAAAATTATTTTGATATGCGTTATTGATTCAATATTGAGTTCGTTATGGGTGTGAACGGGTTTTCATGTGGTATTTTGTTTATCGTGTACCTTTTCTCTCGGGGCCGTTGGGTTGTGCCTCGGTACGTAGCTTTTTTTCTTGGTGATCTGGGAAGGGTTGTATCGAATGTTAGTTGTGGGCTGGGGTGTCAGGAACTCTGTGGCGGTGACCGCTGGTGTCCTGGTTTGGGCGGGGTGTCGGGTGTGTTGGGGTTGTGGCCATGGATGCATAGTGTGGTTCGACTCCGCAGTGTAGGTGGGGGTGGTGGGGCGAGTTTGGGTGTTATGCTGTGTGTGTAGAGTGTGTCGTAGTGTGTGTGTGTGTGTGTGTGTGTGTGTGTGTGTGTGTCGTGTGCTGTGTAGTGTGTGTGTGTGTAGTTTGTAGTGTGGTATGTGTGTGTGTATGTTGTGTGGTGTCTCTTGTCGTGTGTGTAGTTGTTTTGTGAATGTGGGGTGTAAATGTCTTGTGTGGCGTCTCGTGTGTGTGTATGATTGTGTGTGTGGTGTATGTGTGTGGTGTATTTGTTGTGTGTGTGTGTCTGTGTGTGTAAGTGTGTGTGTCGTATTGTTGTGTGTGTTTGTGTGTGTGTGAGTGTGTGTGTGTGTGTGTTTGTGGTATGTGTGGGTATGTAGGTAAGTTTGTGTGCTCGTGTGTGTGTGTCGTGTGTGTGTGGTCGTGTGTGTATGTGTTTGTGTATGTGTGTGATGTCTTGAGTGTGGGCTGTGTGTGGGAGTGTGTGTGTGTGTGTAGTGTTGTTGTGTGTGTATTGATATGTGTGTGTGGGTGTAGGGGTGTGTGTGTGGTGAGTGTGTGTAGTCTTGTGTAAAGTGTGTGTGTTCGTTGTGTGTGTATGTATGTGTGTGTGTCGTGTAGGTGTGTGTGTGTGTGTGAGTGTGTGTCGGGTGTGTTGGTGTATGTTGACGTGTGTATGTGGTGTGGTTGTGTGTGTGTGTGTGTGTGTGTGTGTTGTGTGAGTGTCGTGCTTATGTGTGTCGTATGTCGTGGGTGGAGGTCGTGTGTGTGTTGTGTCTGGGTGTGTATGTTTTGTGGTGTGTGTGTGTGTGTGTGTGTGTGTGTGTCAGTGTGTGGGTGTAAGTGTGTGTGTTTGTGTGTGGGTGTTTATGTGTGGTGGTGTTTGTGTTGAGTAGTGTCTGTGATGTGTGTGTGTGTATGTGTGTGGGTGTGTGTGTGTGTTGGTGGTGTTGTGTGTGGTGTGCCTGTGTGTGTGTGTGTGTGGGTGTGTGTGTGTGTGGAGTGTGTGTGTGTGTGTTCTGTGTGTGGTGTCGAGTTATCGTGTCGTGTGTGTGTGTGTGTAGGTGTGTGTGTGTGTTTGTGTGTGTTGTGTGTCGTGTAGTAGTAAGTGTGTCGTTTGTGTGTAGTCTGTGCAGAGCTAGTGTGTTTGTGTGTGTGCGTGTGGGTGTCTAGTGTGTGTGAGTGTGTTGAGTGTGTGTGTGTGTGTGTGTATGTTTGGGTGTGCTAGTGATAGTGTGTGTGTAGTGTGTGTGTCTGTGTGTCGTGTGTGGGTGTGCATGTGTGTGTGTGAGTGTGTGGGAGTGTATGTGTGTGGAGTGTGTGTGTGTCGGTCGTGTGAACGGGTGTGTGTCATGTGGTGTGTGTGCCGTGTGGTGTTATGGTGTGTGTGTGTCGTGTATGTGTGTGTGGTTCGTGTGTGTGTGTGTGTGTGCTCCGTGTGTCGTGTGTGTGTTATGTGTATGTGTGTGTGTGCTGTGTGTGGTGTGTGTGTGTTGTGTATGTGTGTGGAGGTGGTTTATGTATGTGTAGGGTGTCGTCAAGTGTGTGGGAGTTTTTGAGTTATATATACATATATTTTTACTCATATATTTTTAATTCGTTATATGGACTTATACATATATACGATATATAATATTTATATATATATATTTATATTATATATATACAGTTATATATATTTATTATAATACACGATATACATATTATATATATATATACTATATATAATATACTTATACATATATATATACATATTTTTACTTATTATGTATATATTTATATACATATATATACATATATATATTTTCTTTATATATTTTATTATATATATATATTTTTTATTTTTTTATATATTTTATATGTATAATAATATATTTTCTACACTTATATACATTAGTTTATATATATATATATTTTTTTACATATATTTATTTACATATTATATATATTTTCATATATATTATAATATACTATATACATATATATTTATTACCATATTCTATATATATTATATATACATATAATATAATAATATACATATATTATATTATTATTATATACATTAATTTATAATATACACATATAACATTTATATATAATATTACTCATTATACATATACGATACATATATATATATATATATTTAAATTATAGATATATATATATTTATATTATACAGATATTATATTTATATATTATATATAGTTATATATATACCATATATATATATTTTTATAAATCTATATATATATATATACATATAAACCTCCCCCCTACCCCAACCCCCACACACATTATTATATATATACTTATATAGATATATATACAAATCCATATATATAATATATATATATATATACAAATACATATATATTCATATATATATATTACATATAATATATAATATATATATACATTAATACAATATATAATATATTATACATATATATATATATATATAAAAATATATATGCACTATTTATATTTTATATTTAACATATATATTTATAGTATATATATATATATATATATATATATATATATATATATTACATATATTTACATTTTATATATATATTAATAAACATATATACCATATATATATGTATATATATATACATATATATATTATATATAAATATATATATATATATATAATATTTATATCACATATGTTATATATAATATATATATATTATTTATATTTATATATATATATTACACAAAACATATATATATATGTATTTATACTTTATATATTCTATATGTATTAATATATATATACACTATATTATATATATATATTTTATATATATATATTAATATATATATATATTATTCATACACACATATATATATATTTATATATTATATATATATTATACTTACATACCATAATATATATAGATTTATTTATTTTTATATATACATATTATATAGATACATTATATTTATATATATATATATATATATATATATATATATATGATGTAATTACTTTATTATACCATTATATTATATGTTTATTTAATATATTATATATATACATATTTATATATAACATATATATATATATACACATATATATACATATATATATATATACACTATATAATATACTTATAACATATTTATATATATTATATATATATATATATATATATATATATTTATTTATATAATATATATATATATTATACCATATATATGTACATATATATATATTTATATATTTATTTATATATATACAAACATATATTTACCTATATATATTATATACATTATATATATACATATTACATAACATCTATATATATATATGAACATATATATATATACTTATATATCTTCTATATACTACTATATATTTATATATATTCTATATTTATATATAATATATATATATATGTTTATGTACATATATATATATGTATATAAATACTATTATATATTTATAGTATAGATAATATATATATACTATATATATATATATGTATATATATATATATATATATATATGTATATTTGATTGTATATGTTTATAAATATATGTGTATAATATTATATATATTATATATATATACTATATATATATATATATATATATAGATATGCTATATATTATGTATTATATATACATATATATATATATATATTTATATTTATATATGTTTAATATATATATATATATTTATATATGTATATTTTGATATATATATATATATATATATATATATATATATATATATGTTTATATATTTATATATATTTATGTATTTATTCTTCATGTATATGTATATATATATATATGTTTATATATATATATATTTTATATTTTTATATTTATATTTATATGTTATATATATTATATATATAACATATAATATGTATTATATATATACTTATTATATATATATATATTCCTACTATATTATGTAATATATTTTTATATATATGTGTGTGTGTATATTTTTATATATGAATTTATAGATCTAGTATATTTATATATATATATAT